CAGGGGTTCAAGACCAGCCTGGGCAACTTGGTGAGACCTCGACTCTACAATAAATAAAAAAATAAGCTGAGCATGGTAGCATGCACCTGTAATTCCAGCTACTTGGAAGGCTGAGGCAGAAGGATCACCTGAGCCCAGCAGGTAGCTGTGAGTGTACCACTGCACTCCAGTATGGGTGGCAGAGTGAGAACCCAGACTCAAAAATAAATAAATAAATAAATAAATAAAGTTTAACCCTGAATTAACATGAAAGATGTCCTTCCTTAATGAGATAATGTCATCGAGAGTCCCTGAAAGTTCTTGGAACATAGAATAGCACCATGTAAATATTAGCTATCATGACTATAATTATTAATCAGAAAATCTGTTTAAAAGGTTGCTCTGACCACTGGGTAAAATTTTATTAACAATTTTTATCTTTCATGGTAAAAAATATTTAAGCCTATTTTAATAAAGTTTTCATGTTTGATGTATTTGTTTGATTTTGTGCTAATAATACAAGGGGGACCCCTAAAACAGGAATTTATTTATTTAAAAATGTGTATTTATTAAATTTCAGACAGCTTCAAAGTCTCTGTTTGATGAACTACATCTATTGAGACACTTTCTTCACTGCTCAAAACAGTTTTTGAACTCATCCGTTTTGATGCTTTTTAGTGCTTCTGCCATTTTTTATTACACCTCTTCCACGTCTGCAAAATGTTTCCCACTGAGGACTTTTTCCATCAGAGGAAATAAAAAAAGTCAGATCAGGTAAGATCAGGTAAGATCGGGTGAATGGAGGGGTACGGGGTCATGCCATTTTTTTGTCAAAAACTGAATACTCAGTGTAGTGTACGCAGGCGCACTCGTAAATCACTCATCGTGAACACAAAGGCAAACACCTTGAAAGAATTTCCCAAAAAAATTCACTGAAGCTGAACGCAGCCTCTCACAACAATGCTAGCTGGCACACTGATGACCATGGGTTCCTAGAACACTTACCTAGAGGGGAAGCCTGTGCTACAAGGGGGCCGCCCTCCAGAAGATGATTCCGGGTTTCCTTGGGTCCCCCTTGCAAAAATAATCTAAAAATGCAAAAATTTTTAAAAAGCAGTAGGCTATTTGACATCCTATTCAATACTTAATATTTAAGTAAAGAAGACAGAAAAAATACACATACTGCCTAAATTTCCTTCTGTGGAGTTAATTATGAACAGGAGGCAGATTTGAGAGAAAAGTTTGTTGTTGCTTATTTAAATAGTTCACTGTGGAACGCTCCACAGACACTGACAAAGGGCTGATATCAGCATTCAAGTGTTTTTGTAGCTGTGGACCGATGCTAACACAGCCCGCAGAGAATTCAGAAAAAGTCAGTTGCTCTACAGAGATAATCAGTTTGACTTGTCTTTTCTAAAACTGACACTTCTACTGGGAACACAGAGACAAAAGGTAGCTCTAGAACTTTCTTAGAAAATGGTAGTGCATTGTAGCCCCTTTTCTCTTTAAAAATTATGATACCAGCCGGGCTCGGGGGCTCAGCCTGTAATCCCGCGCCTTTGGGAGGCTGAGGTGAGTGGATTGCCTGAGCCCGCAGGTTCAAGACCCACCTGGGCAGCGAGACCTCATCTCTACAATAAAAAAAAAAAAAAAAAATCAGCCGGGCGTGGTAGCGCACGCCTGTAATTCCGGCTACTCAGAAGGCTGAGGCGGAAGGATCGCCGGAGCCCAGCAGGCGAGGCTGCGGTGGCCAGGAGCGGCCACTGCACTCCAGTCGGGGTGACCGAGTGAGACTCTGACTCAAAAAAAAAAAAAATTATGATACCAAGCTTATGGCTTCATTATGGTCAAAAGGAAATAGAATAATTTTACTTGTGATTCTGCCTGGATTTCCTTCTGGGGACTTAACCATGAACAGAAGACAGATTTGTTACCTATCTAGTACCTACTTACTTGTTAACTTGTGTGTTCATAATTAATTCATTCTATTTTCCACATAAAAAGAGAAAAATAGGATGCTAGGCTGAGCAGCCTGACTGAATGAAGTGACTTGTCCCTCATGAGCTGCCAGGACATTCCAAATGACCAAGCAGTCCTAACAGGTGCCCAGCCAAAAGCTCTACTGGAAGCAATTTTGTTCTAATGAAACCGTGGGAACGCTTGGCTTCTATGTTGCTCCCTATAGCTTAATCACATAAAATGGGCACTTTGATCTGTTTCTCACCATGAACTGAAAGAATGATAGAGCAGGCATTACTTTATTATTTAAATTATGGTTCAGGCAGTTTCTTTCGCCCATGCCAACTTTGGCATGTCTTTCTTTTCTCCCTTCTTTCTCATAAACTTTGTTTGAAAACTAAAAATTTTTTTAAAATTATGGCTCGGGGGGGTCAAACACCTACTCTGTCAGATGATGAAAACCATATAACTGAATGCATTTCCCTTTTTGCTTTGACTGCTAGAGAGCTCAGATCTAAACTTAATATTCAATAGTGGTGACTTCACCTTATTTTAAAATATTTTTTTGATCAGTCATTTTTTTAAAGTATGTGAGATGTTTTGCTGTATTTGTGACACTGCTGGAAGACTATCAAAAGTTTTATAAATTAAGATTGGAAAAGGTAAGTAATACAGCCAGGTCCAGTGGCTTATGCCTGGTAATGCCAGCACTTTGGGAGACAAAGGTGGGAGGGTTGCTTGATCCCAGGAATTCCAGACCAGCCTAGGCAACATAGCTAGACCTTGTCTCTATAAAAAATTTAAAAATTAGCCAGGTGTCGGCATACATGTCTGTAGTCTCAGCTATCCAGGAGAATGAGGCGGGAGAATCATCTGGCCCAGGAAGTCGAGAGACTTCAGTGAGCCATGATTGTGCCACTGCACTCCAGCCTGTATGACAGAGTGAGGCCTCAACTCAAAAAAAAAAAAAAAAAAAAAGAGGACGGGTAAGTGACCTGCAAATCAAGAGTACAGACCAGTCTGGGTACAGCCAAAGGGCCCTAAATAGTTCTAAACAGGGACAGGCAGAAACTCAGGGAATAATTATGGAGAAAATGTAGAAATAGTACATATCCCCAATAGTCTTTCTCATTCTACAAGAAACAAATCCCATGAGCCACGTAGGTGCAAGAGCCAAGCCTCAGTAAATTGTATTTGAGAGACCTGGTTTCATAAAAGAAGAGAAGAGGAAGAGAAAAGGGACTTTCAAACAATTTTCATATGTGATTCCTTTTAAAGGGCTTTGCATAAGAAACACAGAGGCACATAAACTCACCTGGATATGGATAAAGGGAACCACACACTGGAAGAGAAGTTTGTAAACAATGGCGGATTTATTTTTTAAATGTATTTGCAGAAAAATAAAAGAAATACATCAGATGCAGGTTTCCAAATTTGGCAATTTTGTTTTTCAATGAGAACACTGAAGCCACATGAACTGGTGTATTTTCTTTCGGCTTGACTATGTGAGGAGACGGGTGCAAGACACACGACTCAGCATCTACTGTCTTTCTAATTAATTCTCGTGCGTCTTCAGTTGTGATGAAAAGTTAGGCTGTGATTTTTGTAATGCAATTTTTACAGCGTAAAGAAATCATTTAGTCCCTGCCTGTATTTTTTTTCTTTTTCTTTTTTTTTTTGAGTTGGAGTCTTACTCTGTCGCCCAGACTGGAGTGCAGTGGCCGCTCCCGGCCACCGCAGCCTCGACCTGCTGGGCTCCGGCGATCCTTCCGCCTCAGCCTTCCAAGTAGCTGGAACTACAGGCGCGCGCTACCACACCAGGCTAATTTTTTGATTTATTGTAGAGACCACATTTCTATTATTAACTGAGTTTACAGATTACTAAATTGGTCAGGTGTGGTGGCTCACCCCTATCATCCCAGCACTTTGAGAGGCGGAGGTGGGAGGATTGCTTGAACCCAGGAATTCAAGAGCAGCCTGGGTAAGATAGCAAGGCTTTGTCTCTACAAAAAAAATTAGCTGGGCCTGGTGGTATGTGCCTATAGTCCCAGTTACTTGGGAAACTGAGGTGGGAGGATTGCTTGAGCCTAGGAGTTTAATGCTGTGGTGAGCTGTATCATGCCACTGCACTCTAGCCTGGTCAACAGAGTGTGATTCCAACTCAAAGGAAAAAAAAGTGACTTCTGTCACCATGAGGCACATTTGCTAAGTTAGACATGTAAATGGGAATGATCACTTAGTCTCTCCCCATGCAGGCATTCCACAGGCCCAGAGGGCTGCCCAATCCTCCACCAAAATCTTGACTTGACAGGGACAAAGCTGAGTCCACCTATTCCCTCAGAAGGATAGATGATGATCTAACTTTTCCAGAGAAATTGGTAATATTTAGATGTCCTAAAGAAACCAGGACCTTGTATGCAAAACAGTAGTAAACTGAGTTTTATGAGAGTCTATCACAAGCAAATAAAATGCTTTACTGAAACGACCACTGAACTGGAAAAACTCAGGAAAAATGACCCTGAATTCCATGTGAACACTCATAAATCTACTCCTTCCCTTACTCTCCCCCCAAAGCACATTCTGCGTCAAATCCATGTTCCACACCAGCTTACCTCTGGCCTCACAGCAACTCATAATACCACATGCAGCCCAGCAAGCGTGGACTGAAATGTCTCCCTTTGTGAAGCTCTTTTCATGACATCTGACATGACTATGTAAGCAGATAGTCCAGGGGAGGGGACAGAGGCTCAGAACGAGGCTGACATGGCCAAGGCACACTGATCATAAGCCCCAAAAGAAAAAGAAAGTAAAATGTAGAATGTGATATGAAGAAGAAGATCCCTGAGGACGTACTAAGAGGAGGATTTTGCAATTTTGAATTATGTTCACACACAAAAGCAGACACTTAAAACAGGCTCACTTTCAAGTTGGGTAGGGCTGTCGAAATCTGCTGACACTTCATTTCATAGTTTGGTTGTACATACGATTTGGCTATACCTACCTGGGACAAGCCTAAATGTACAGAGGCGGTCTCGGATATATACATGATTTTGCCATCAGATGCTACCACAAAAACAAATCCATCCAAAGTCTGTAAAAGAGAAAGCACCAGAATAAGAGACGATAATTCTATGTTAGAGTTTTATCTAAAATTGTACTGTTATGGGATGGAAGTATACATAAATTATTATTTTCAATGCATGCTTATTTTTTTAAAAGCACACAAGAAAGAACTGTAGGTAACAACACTCAAGGTCTAGTTCCCAGGTCAGGCTCTGAAATGCTTTTAAAGCACTTTAAAAACAATCTTACATCCACATCACAAAAATCATGCAAAACATTTCAGAATTCCTATCATGCTCGGTTTAAATGCGGTAGTAGCTTTATTGTTTGGGGTTGTTTTAGCACTTAGCACAAATCCGGAGTTCTATGGCACTTAGGGGAAAATCTACCACTATATAGACCATTTTATGTCATAATTGGCAGTCATTTATACCACTAGGACATACACTTTACTTGCCACAATTTTCTAGTTACCTTTAAGTACCATTTGAATAATAAATTCCAAACACTACTATTCCCCAGAAAATAAAACAAAATACCCAGTTATTTTACCAGACCATGTCTACAGAATTAATTATTCAGAATTTGTGAAAGATCAAATAACCTTTGCAACATCCAAGGAGAAAAAGTATCAACTTCTAAAAAATTAAAACTACCCAATGAAATTCAAATTTTTGCCTGAGTTGGCTGTCCCTCAAAAATAAAGTAAAATTATAAGAGGTAATTAAGACAAATAAGAAGGTAATAATTAGATTTATGTGTCAAGGATAAAAAGACTAAATTATTTTTGAAAAAGGAAACTATTTTATTTACTCATTCAGATTTTAGATCCAGAACCAAAGAAAAGCAATAAAGTGGGTGAAAGACTGGTACAAGCCACAATGCTGCCTCCATAAAAAATATTCCAAATTAATTTCTGGCCACAAATTCTATTTTTACGGCATGTAATTGAAACCAGATTACCTTTGGTCTTTCTAAGCCCTCCTCTTGGGGTGGGGGGGAGACTAAAAAGAATGTGTGGAAGTGAAACTTGAACGATATCCTTACATTTTGCCGTCTTGAACACAGTTTGCTACAAAATTCTTTGCCAACTAAACTATCACTACCGTTTCCTACAAGGTTAACATCAGCATCTCGATGATAAGCCTTCCTTTCAGGTGTCTAACTCAGCTACAAAGTAGTCCCCCAACGCAACCTGCGGCGTTGCAAAAAATGTAAACAAACGTAAACGACGACACAGCCATTTCTCCGGTCAGACATGTGCTGGCACATTTGGGCACGCTTGCTGGTCGCGGAAATCACTCGAGAGACACATTTCACGAAACAGTATCTCACAATCAGCCATATCTAGGACCATGAGTACAAGAGCGGGGGTGGGGGTGGGGGTGGGGGTGGGGGTGGGGGGGAGAATCAGGATCACATTCGAAAGGTTGCCCGCAGTAGCTAAGAAAATAAAATTCTTCGTGGAAAATGTTGGGTATGCCTTCATAGCCTCAAATGGCCTGAGTCGCTTGCATGTGCCTTAACTGCAAATCCTTCCAAGGATCGGATCAATTCGCTTGCGTGTGTCTTAACTGCAATTCTTCAAATGACTTCGTTCGTTTGCTCGCGTGCGTCCTAACTGCAGACTCGCCCGTCCACACGCCAGCCCCGCGCTCGTGACGGGCACGCACCGCGGGGAAGGACCGGCGGGCCCTGCCCGCCTGGAGTTCGCTGACGCTCCCCGGCACTTCGCCGTCCCCAGTGTGAGCGTCTCTGACGAGACGTGGGAGGATGAAACACGCCGCCGAGCAGGGCGCGGGCCGCAGGGGCCCGGGGCTCTCAGAGCGCCAAGCCCGCCCGCCGCCACCGTCCGCTCGGGGTGCCGAAACTCCGGGCTCCCCACATCTCCCGGGTTTCTTCTCTTCCCCAGCGCGTGCATTTAAAATAATAATAACAGTCATAAAGGAGCCACACCAGGGCCTGTGGGGCAAGAGAGTTCTGAAGAGATTTGCTTTTTCGAAGTGCAGAGCGCCTGGCTGACTCGCTGACCTAAGTCACAGCGCCCCACGGCCAACATTTCGTTTTTTTCTTTGAAAGAAAACACAAAATAGAGGGAGGAAATGCAAAGTAGCTCTCGGCAGGCATTTTTCGCTGGCAGAGACAAATGACAGGAGGGGGAATGAATCGGGTCGTTGATGAGGCTCTGCAAAGGGCGTTTGAGAGATCGGAATCTGTCCCCAGCTAGTGCCAGCCGCCGACCTGGAAGTGGCGGGCTGTGCGCTGGGCTACCCGGCCGCCACCGCAGAACCGGGCCACGCCGGGCGCCCCAGACGCTGCCGGGGAAGCCGAGGTCGGGGTGGCCAGAGCGTCTGCAGGCCGAAGGGGCCCGAACGGGGAGCCCTGAGCTCCTGACCCCAAACTCATCAAAAGCTTGGAGAGCCTGGCGACCCCGGAGGAGTGCGCCACGTCCCAGTTTTGGGCATCGGCTCTTGAGCTGGGTTAACCCAGCTCCACCTCTTGCTGTCTGACCTTAGAGTTGTACTTGACCTCTCTGTGCCTCAACTGCCTCCTCTGAAAAAAAAAATGTAGTTAAAAATAGAATCCACCAGAGGTGGGTAGAAAGCGAGAGGATACAATCCGGTTCTGAACAGAATCTGGCCTGTGATACATACACTCTCCATAAGCGCCCACTGTTGATGGTGTCCTCCCTACAAACACACACAACCGCCACGTGCTTCAGAGCTGCGGCTTTCTGGTTCAGAGGGTCCGGATCATTTATTCCCTAGCCTTAGCGCCTGGCACAGAGCAAGAGCTGGTGGAAGGGGCGGCGGACAGTTAGGTTGGAAAGAACTGAACCACGCCCAGGGGCGGGGTGGGGGGCACGTCCCGGATGGGCTAGAGAATCTGGGGCCTTGTGGGGGTGGGGGCGTTCAGGGTGGAGGTAGGGCTGGCCTGAAGCTGCATCTACGCGCATGCGTCCACGCCTGGGCCCGTCCCTCCTTAGCGGGGTTCACCGCTCCGGGCCCTCCCCCCACCGCCGCCGCAGGCTGGGGACGGCCGACGGGTTTGCCCAGCGCGCCCTGGGGAGGGGACACCCCGAGGCCGGGGTGGCAGGCGGGGAGAAAGGCCGCGCTCCTGCCTGGGCGTTCGCTCTACCTGCAGCAAGTGCGATCCCAGCTCCTTGGCGACGCTGTCCAGGGGTCCGGCGCGGCTTGGCTGTCCCCACGCGTCTCCTAACCCTGGACGGGGAAAGAAAGCAAACCCGTAAACCGCTGCGCGCCGCCGGA